AGTATCAACTGATGATAATGATTTATTATGTTATTATTACAGTATGGAACAGTATCAACTGATGATAATGATTTATTATATTATTATTACAGTATGGAACAGTATCAACTGATGATAATGATTTATTATATTATTATTACAGTATGGAACAGTATCAACTGATGATAATGATTTATTATATTATTATTACAGTATGGAACAGTATCAACTGATGATAATGATTTATTACATTATTATTACAGTATGGAACAGTATCAACTGATGATAATGATTTATTATATTATATTACAGTATGGAACAGTATCAACTGATGATAATGATTTATTATATTATATTACAGTATGGAACAGTATCAACTGATGATAATGATTTATTATATTATTATTACAGTATGGAACAGTATCAACTGATGATAATGATTTATTACATTATTATTACAGTATGGAACAGTATCAACTGATGATAATGATTTATTATATTATATTACAGTATGGAACAGTATCAACTGATGATAATGATTTATTATATTATATTACAGTATGGAACAGTTTCAACTGATGATAATGATGTATTATAGATGATAATGATTTATTACATTATTATTACAGTATGGAACAGTATCAACTGATGATAATGATTTATTATATTATATTAGAGTATGGAACAGTTTCAACTGATGATAATGATGTATTATAGATGATAATGATTTATTACATTATTATTACAGTATGGAACAGTATTAACTGATGATAATGATTTATTATATTATATTACAGTATGGAACAGTTTCAACTGATGATAATGATTTATTATAGATGATGATGATTTATTGTATTATATTACAGTATGGAACAGTATCAACTGATGATAATGATTTATTATATTATATTACAGTATGGAACAGTTTCAACTGATGATAATGATGTATTATAGATGATAATGATTTATTACATTATTATTACAGTATGGAACAGTATCAACTGATGATAATGATGTATTATAGATGATAATGATTTATTACATTATTATTACAGTATGGAACAGTATCAACTGATGATAATGATTTATTATAGATGATAATGATTTATTATATTATATTACAGTATGGAACAGTTTCAACTGATGATAATGATTTATTATAGATGATGATGATTTATTGTATTATATTAAGTATCAACTGATGATAATGATTTATTATATTATTATTACAGTATGGAACAGTATCAACTGATGATAATGATTTATTATAGATGATGATGATTTATTGTATTATATTACAGTATGGAACAGTATCAACTGATGATAATGATCTATTATATTATTATTACAGTATGGAACAGTATCAACTGATGATAATGATTTATTATATTATATTACAGTATGGAACAGTATCAACTGATGATAATGATTTATTATATTATATTACAGTATGGAACAGTTTCAACTGATGATAATGATGTATTATAGATGATAATGATTTATTACATTATTATTACAGTATGGAACAGTATCAACTGATGATAATGATTTATTATAGATGATAATGATTTATTATATTATATTACAGTATGGAACAGTTTCAACTGATGATAATGATTATGATCTCAATGATAGTGGTAACTGGAGAAGTTTATTAAAAGGTAAAACATATCGTGATCCTGATAAACAGAGAAAGAAAGAAGAAAAGAAATTGAAAGATGATGAAAGAAAGAAACAAAAAGAAGAGGTAAGGAAATTCTTTAAGAAATTAAAGAAATTAAATTTGATTTATTCTTTATACTTGACCTCTGATAGCTTGAGCTGAAAAAAAACTTAATATACACATTGCCCACTACATGGCATTGCCAAGTCTCATTATCCCAATAAGATGGAGATAAAAAGGGATGTATAATTAAGCCCTAATTTAGAACTGCTTGTATTTGCTTTCATCTTTGTATCAACTAACACAGCTAGGCCTTTTAAAAATAACATGTTGGTTTTCAAATGTCCTGGGTCAGATGATATTGCAATGTTATGATTTTTCATCTCTTTTGCTGGCTCGTATAGTCTTTTCCTGTGGTATTTTCATTGTGTTTTAAAGAGTGGGTTCAGTTATTTTCATTTATTATATGAATAGAAAGTATAGGTG